GGTTTCACACTTGGTGAGATTTTCAAGTGCATCAACCCACGAACCCAATCTACGGTCCGTAGATTGATATACGGTCCGTAGACGGAGTATCATGGATGACATCTGTGCCAGGTTTCAGCCAATCGTTATTTGCAAGTCCATATCTTAGACCATTTTCAACAATATCCTAGTCTAACTATGTATTTCAACATTGAAACATGCTAGTTTGTCATTTTAAGGATTTCGATTAATCATTTGAACAAGTATTTAAGACAAACATTTAGAACCCTAAGTCGAAACTTACATGTAGACGTATATTCACATACAACAAGGCAACAATCACTATCTTTCGTTCCAAGGGTATTGTAACTTCCAATTTTATCATGTAATTTCATCGAACAGTTAAATTATGGGGGAATGGAAGGGATGATTTTATGGGGGAGTTATGGAGTGATTTAGGGGGGGTGATTGGATGGTTAAACGGTTGGGGAGTGAATGGAGGGAAGTGAAAGTGATTTTAAATTAGGGGGTTTAAATGAGGGGGTCCGGGTCGGGTCAGACAGAACTAGGGTTTTGGACTCATGAGACCCCGCCTACCGTCCGTGAGTCGATCTACGGTCCGTAGATTAGGACCGTAGATCACTCTTACACTTAGAAAAAATTGAGAAGCTTACCTGGAGTCTACAGACACTATCCACGGTCTGTGGATTAAATGACGGACCGTCGATGGGGTCCGTAGACCTCTGCACCAGGCCATTTTCTGCAGATTTTTCATGGTGTACCTGCACATATAGCAACCAATGGGCTATTCTTTTTATATTTTCTGGACACGGACTCTACGATAATTCTAGCCAACAACTAAAAAAAACTAAAGTACCTATCTAAGTTGGTACAGAGACGCAATTAAGCAAAGAAAACTACTAAATTGAAAACAGAAACCTATCGTTGGCTAGATTTTACTTCTTGGGTTGCCTCCCAAATAGCGCTTGATTTAACGTCGTGGAACGACGCAAGTTTCTTGATTACTCAGACTTCATCAAGATTGTAAGCCTCCTGAACTTGAAGCTTTTTATGTAGTGTACACCTAAACTATAACTCGTTTTAAATACCCTAATGAACTTATTTATTCATTAATCGCATAACATGTATTATCCACCTGACGTAGAAAACAAACTCAATCAGACGCGTAAGGAAGTAAAATTGTTGCCACATCACAAAGCTCTAACGATAAAAAAAATAAAAAAATCTCCATTCTTCTTTAATTTTTTTTCTCTTTTCAGAACATCTCTCTCTATTTATTCTCCCTAAACCTTTCTCCCTTTTCAAATTTCATAAATTTTTTATTTATTTTTATTTTTTCCTTCTCCATCTTTTCAAAACTGCATTTGCTAAATTCATGAATTATAATATAAGACTTGTTTGTTTATGTGGGACTCCTCCAATTCTAAGAATGTAACACCTCAGATTTGAAAAGAAGGAAAATGCAGTTTTTAGGCTGGTGTTTGTGTCTACGGGTCCCATCTATGGATTGTAGAAGCTTCTACGGACCATAGATGGCAACAATAGAAAGTGGGAAAATAATTTTTTTCAAAAAAAAATTAGTATCCTTTTTACAATTCACTAGGACGGCCCGTCACTCCATGTACGAGTCGTAGATTGGTCTCAAAGGTGACCCCCATACTTAGTGAAATTTTAAAGCTTAAAGTTGGTTTTTATGGTTGACATGTACAGTCTGTAGAAAAACCTACGAGTCGTACATGAGATCCGTCAAAAAGTTGGGCAATTAAGAGTCTCTGATCATTATCTATGGTTAAACTTCTTCAAAATCAGTCAAATCTATTGAAGAATAAAAATCATTAATTTCTTGTTGGACAGTTGCAACCCTTTCATTCTCAACTCTTTGACTAGATAGAAAGGTAGAAGAAGACCCTAACCCTAGATTTTGATTTTTTTACTTGTGCATTTAAGGAACCATCAGATTCTCCAAGCGCATTAAAAGACTCACTAACTTGACTTAAAGATTGACTAACCTGGCCTTCAGACATAGGACCCACATCCTCCAGAGTAGAGTCATGACATACATAAATATCTATTATGTCTTCATCATGCAAAAACAATGCAATATCACAAATGTCCTATCGTTTTTCAATCCAACCTGATCACTTCCTAGAGATGGAATTGCATAAGTTTTTCCTAACTTACTAATCCCAAAAGATTTAGCATAATTAGCAAGTTCAGAAATTGATAAATGATTTTCATCCACATTAGACACATGTTCAGCCTACCCTCAATATATATTGGACCTACCTCATTCACCAAGATACCCCCAATTGGAACTTTAAATTGAGGTACTTATTAGTAGCCATGGGGTCAACTTATAACCACAATAATAATCAATCATATAACAACATCAAAACATAGGCAACAACACCATAATAGAGGCAAGATCTAAAATACTAATTTTAGTCATAAGCACAAAATTATACAAGGAAATTTATATAAAATTATAATATTTAACAATACCAAAACAGAATTGATGAATTGGAACCCTAAAACCCCCTATAATATTGACTTTACTCACAAGCATACAAATATACATAAGGAATTTACAAAAAAAATCCAACACTTAACAATACAGAATAGAATATTGGAATCAGAATCCTAGAATCTTGATTTTACTAAAAAGCCCTAATTTTTTTAACTAACTACCAGAAACCCTATTACTCATGCATGCATAAGCTGAACAAGTTCACAATAATACATTTGGTAAGTAAAAACTCTAGTTGAAAACTATCAAATCCCTGATCGAAGGCTCAATCAGTAACTATGGAGAAACCCTAGTCGAAAAATATGGTGAAACCCTAAACGAAAAATATGACAAAATATAAATGAAAAAATAAAGAAAACAAACAACAACACATTATAAGAGTGATCATCACTTACTTGGTAAGAATTTCAGACAAGATCAAAAGAAAATCAACCAAAAGCTTCACGAAATCGAGCTAAAATTTCACGTCTAAGAACTGCAACTGACCCAGATCGAGCAAGAGTTTCACGAAAAACCTCTGTCGATTACACTTCTTAGTGAGCCAAAACGTTTAAAATCTGTCATTTACTCTGTCGATTACACTTCTTAGAGAGAAGATTAGTGAGAAGATTTAAGAAGTTTTACACTCCGTCTACTTAGTGAGAATATTTACTAATAATTATCTATTTATCCATTCGGACATCCACATCAGCTATTTTATCAACATGTCATGCGCGTGTAAACACGATTGATGGAGGTGGACGATACATATTTACACAATTAATGAATAAACAAGTTTATGGGTATTTAAAAAGGGTTATAATTAAGTGTACACTGCATAAAAAGCTTTAAATTCAGGGGGTATTGAACATTTTTGCCTTTTAAAAAAAAAAACACTTAGAAATTAGGGCTAAAGTTTGCAAATTGAAATTTGATCGGTCAAAGCTCAAAATTTATAATTAAGATAATTTAAAAATTAAAATATTATTTTAAATTTATTTGATAAAACTTTTGTTCTTCAATACACCGTGAAATTATGACCTGGTGTATATCAAATCGAAGAATCAAATTTCTCAAAAAACGAACTAAAACACTAAAGAACCTAACACCAAAAAACTAAAATAATTCAATTTTGCGATAGTTATGCCTACCACATCTAATGCAAACTTAAATCCATGCCACAAAAGATCAAGGAAAGGATTCCATTAAAAACCAAAAAAAAAAGGGATAGTGGGGAGGGGAGAGGAAAAGGAAGTGCCAAGAGAAAGGAGCCAAAAAAAAAAAAACTCTATGCAACAGTAAAAAGAAGCTGTCACACTATATAGGTTCACACTTGGCACCTTTTGAAAGAAGTATCCACGCGTCCCGTTGTATTTTCTTCACATATCCACCCACAGTGAAAATTACTTGCTAAAAATCTGGCTTACCATGTAACAGCACACATATTATAAAATCTGTCCCTAGCACCAGCTCACACACTGTCGTTCTCTCACTGACAGAGTCACTCACCAGTCACCACTCTCTACTGTATCCCCTCTTTTTCTTTTTCTTCATTTGGTAAAGTGAAAACTCACAAAAACTTCTCTTCTCAAACAAAAATTGGTGAGCTTTTTCTTCAATTCTATTGTATTTATGTATATCTTATTTACCAAGTTAATCACTTTGCTTTTTTTCTTGAACAACAAGAATGGATAATATCACCATTTTTTGTCTCAATCTGAGTTTTGGTTCTTGTTACTGTTTTCTCATCGATTCTTGGAGAAATTGATTAAAGGAGTGGGGATTTCTTGATTTAGAATTAGTGGGTACAAGTAAGTGTAATTGTTTTTACAAGAAGTGGGTTTTTTTTTCCACTTTTGGAGAAACAGACTGAGGGAATGGGTTCTTGTTAGCTCAAATCTTCCATAAAATGGATTTTTTTTGTGTGTGTTTCGGACACCCTTTTCTTGGTTTGTGCTACCTGCTCAGCTTACTTTATTTATTACTGTAATTTTTATCCATTTTTGGTGAAACAGATTAAGGAAATATATAGTTATTTGCTCATAACTTGCATAATATGGAAAATCTTTTTGGGTTTCAGACACCCTTTTTCTTTCTTTTTTTTCTGGGTTTAGAATTAAACTGATGTGAAAGAAACAAAATTGACCCAATTAGTTTGTAGTTTTGAAGTCTCTTCGATTGATGTTTGGGAGTCTTTTGTTTGCTGTTAGTTTCTTAAGAGATGGGAGGTAAAGTTTGCAGCATTTACGATGCTGACTTCCTAAACGATGAGCTTCACTAGCATTTTCTTGGAAAAGAATTCATCCGTTAGTTTAAGTATGGAAAAGTCTGTCTTCTTCTTTTGGTGTGGATTCCAATGAAACCCTAAGATGGGGGACCAGAACTTTCCAAACAAGTACCAACTACCCCTCTCTCTACTCTTAAGAAAAAAATGTGTTTTTATTTTTCTTTTCATAGATATATTAGCTGAAGAGATAATGGAAAAAAAAACATACAAATTATGGAGTATTTCATATCTGTAAAAAGGGTGTCAGTAAATCTGTCACAATCAAGAAAACAGAATAATTAAACTTGCATAATTATTAGACTGAGTCGTCGGCAAGCATTTGTTTGTGCCATTTGTTTGTGGGGTTGATGAACCATTTAATGTTTGGTTATTTATTTGGTTTCATTGATTAGGTGATGAAACAAGTAGCTGAAAATGATGTTGTGGAGTTAACAGATGGGAGAAACATTTGTGGACTTGGACTGGAAGGGATTGAGCTCTGTTTCTGTATTTGAATAGTTATCCTTGTCTACTTATAGTTTTCTCACCGTCTTAATCAGCTTCGTACTAGTTACTGGAATCATACAGCTCTGTCAAAGAGGTGAATCTCATTTTCTACCTTGTTTTGAAATAATTGAAGTTCATGTAGTAGTTAGTAGTATGTGTGTGAGCTGCTTTAGAGTACGAGACGGAGTAATTACAATACCCTTTTCTTTCTTTTCATTTCTCTCTCTTTTTAAAAAAAAATTCTCCCTTTAGTAAATGGTTTGGGAAGTAATTGGTTGAGAAGCTGCTGTTTGTTAGATTATGGCGCTATATGAGTGGGAACTAGCAGAGGAATAGTTTCAGACATACTATTTATTGTCTGTATCATGGTGAGTCTCCTGATTTCAAGAATTCCAGTAGTATATGTTATGCGGCTTGGGTGTTTTGACTGTTGATTTGAGGGAGAGTACTTTGTCATAATTTAGTTCATTTTGCTCTGAGCTGTTCAATTAGTCTGGAAAAGAAGTTGGATTAGGAGAGATAATAATATCCTGCAAGTGAGAAAGAGAATTAGTTACAGTTTTAGAGGTAGAACAGCAAATTTGTGAACCAGCCAAGCTCTACATCATTGGGTGAGCCTTGATGGGATGGTCTCCTTTTCTTTTTTTCTTGTCCTGAATTTGTGTACTTGCACTTTGCTTCTTGCTTCTTGCTTCCCTGTTGTCCGACAAAATGCTTGTTTTGCCTTTTGTGAAATTACGTACTTGTTAAACTAGGAATAAATATCAGTTAACTTTGAGTGTAAATATTTTGCAGATTCAAGTCTTAATTACTGTTTTGCATTCCATGAGTCTGGAAATTTGGTAAAGCCATCTCATAGTTTCTTTCCCAAGATGGAGTGGAATGTTAAGTGGGACTGGGGAAATCTCGTAATGTTTGGTTCAAAGGCCTCTGAAAGTCCAAAAGAACTACAATTAACAGATTGGGGAGTTGAAGAAGAGGGAGAACTTGATGGGGGATCTTTCAATTTGTCAAGTGGCGGTAGTGGCACGGGTGGTTATGGTTCTGATGTGAAGTGTGGTTCTTCCATCAAAAGCTCAATATCAGCTTCTACCGACTCTTCACCAAAGGAGGGCTTTAAAGCATCCAACTTTGCTTTTGAGGCATTTAATACCTCTCCTGAGGATCCTAGTAAGAAATTGGAATCCTCCAAAGCTGAGGTCTCTAGAAACTCACCACCCATGGAGGCTTCAGTAGGCTCTGTTGAACCAGTGATAGGTCTAAAACTTGGTAAGCGGACATGTGAAACCTTTGGTGGTGGAAGCAGTGCTAAGGTTTCATCCTTCCCTCCGAACCCCACATCATCTGCTGCAACAAAGAAAGCAAAATCATCTAGTCAGAATGCACCAATTCCTCACTGTCAGGTTGAAGGTTGCAACCTTGATCTTTCTTCAGCTAAAGAATATTATCGGAAGCATAGAGTTTGTGACAGTCATTCCAAAAGCCCAAAGGTTATTGTAGCAGGTGTAGCACGCCGCTTTTGTCAACAGTGTAGCAGGTAAATGTTTGATGAATCTAAGGTTTCTTTGTTTTAGATCTTTGATGTCCTTCGAATGCACCATCTGCCCCTTTAGCAATAACTTCTATATGTAGCACTAGTTCATCGCTCATTCTTTCTATTTTTAATTTTTTAAAATTAAGGTTCCATAGCGTGTCTGAATTTGATGAAAAGAAGCGAAGCTGTCGTAGGAGGCTCTCTGATCACAATGCACGGCGCCGCAAACCTCACCAGGAAACTATCCAGTTCAATTCAGCGAGGCTTTCTTCGTTGTTTTATGGTATGTTGTCTATATTGGGAATTGTCCTTTCCCTTCTTGCAATGTGGCTTTGAGTGCTCAAATGACATGCTTCAGTAATAGTTATTGAGATTTGAGAATAAGTTAACATTTTGTCTGACTAATTGACAAACAATCTATTCCTAATGTTTCTTTGCTGGTGTACACCAATTGTGTACTGGCATTAATTTTAATAATCCAGATACATTTAAGATGCAAACATCACTTTTATCTAAAACAATAACGTGTACATAAAGTTGATAAGAATTAGTTGTGATTGAGCAATTGTCTTCTGGAAAGTGGGTTTTTTGTTGGACCATCTGCTTATCCATAAAGTCGTTGGTGTGAATTTACTAAGTATCATCTTATGTGGTTTTGTGTTTACAGATAGCAGGCAACCCATGAATCTTGTGCTCAACCAAGCACAACTCATTCACTCCAGAGCTGCTGCGAACTCTACCTGGGAGAGCACTCAAGACTCTAAGTTCAGTATCACAAGAGGGTTTACTCCAAAGCCTGAAAGAACTAGCAGCACAAATGGGAAGTCACTACTGGAGGGGATCCAGTTTTCACGGGCTGTGGGTGCACAGAGTAATGCATCTAGCTTGCTCTTGCCCTCCAAGGGCACCACAGCCGAGGTTTTTAATCGAGGTTTGTTTCACTCTATTGTGAATGCAAAGCCGTTGTTCATTGCAATCTTTGAATTTTGTGTGATGGTGCAAAGAAGATCTTCTCTACTGTTGCCTGCCTCTATTTGTATCTTTTTTAAAAGCAGTTATATCAATTTAGTTGCTTACTGGATTAATCAGTAGTTACAGACTCCCAAATGCAGCAGTTCTTATTAAAGTACATCTCCCTCCTAATTAGTACTCATCCTTTTCTTTTGATAAGGCCAATTTGTAGTCAACAATAGCTGCATTGTATTTGCATTATGGATTACAGAGTGTACGATCTTATCTAGAACCCAACAATAAATGTGCCATAGTCTACTTGTGCCTTTTCTGCATCTGGCCCATGTGTGATGAAGATGGTAGCAAGCATTTTGGTTGAGAACTCTACTTTTACATCTAGGAGACCTTTATTTTTGCTTGAACTACAGTTTTAGATGTTCTGTAACACTTATGAATTAGACTTTAAAGGCGTTTTCATCCAGGAGTCGATTATGAAATTTTGCAAGAGTGCTATCAATGAGACTTCGAAGTGGTTGAAGCAGAACTAGACTTGCTATACTAACTATGCATTGGGGGTTGGAGATCATGACTAAGTTTCTCTTCGTGTTTCATACTTGAATAAATTGAAAGACTAAGCTGACAACATATGGTCCGGCCCATACCTAAACTGAAAGACTTTGTTAGATATGGAAGATACAAAAAGTATCATATCCAATATATAACTGATAGTAGCAGTAGAATTGACTGATCTTCTTTAAAATGGAAGAAAAAAAAGGAGATTGAAAATTTGAAATGCTGCTATGCGTGTCCTCTTGAATTTTGAAAAGTTGCTCTTTAATATGTTCACTACAAAGAATTGTAGAATGCTGAAAAGTAGGGAGGAACTTGAGTGGTAGGAAACTGATTGAAAGTGCAAGATAGTAGAATTCCATCTCTAAGTATGTTAGTTTTTCTTTTCTCTATCAGGTGCCAAGGAATCCATGTTCAATATGGTTACAGGACCGGAATTTCCTCGTGCTCTCTCTCTTCTGTCAACTAATTCCTGGGGTTCATCCGAGCCTGAGACTGTTTCACTCAACCATGCAAATCAAACCAGCATGCCCGAGCAGATGATGCAGGCAATTCCACAGGGTGTGCCGCATATGTCCAGTCAATACTGGCAGCAGGCTGGACAACATTCATCCGATACTCGTTACCATACATTGGCTGCTAATAGTAACAGTGGCGGTAGCTTTCAGGAAATGGGAGTGTTCAAAGCTCCATTCGACACAGACTTTTATCTCAATGCATTGAACTGAAGCCAACATCTGATGTGTTGGTGTATTTTCAGGATTTGGCGACCTTTCCCATTTTGACATGTCAAAACTTGAAGGTCTCTGTTTAGTACTGGTATATAATATATAGGTTGGGCTTTTAAACTATTAAGAAAGTCTAATATTATGATGAATTATGCAGTAAAATTTTGTTTGCCAGTGACATGAATTCCCAAGAATTGTAATTTCTTGATTCTGCAACTTGGAACATAACTGCACAGGTTCCACCTATGAATGACTGTTTATCCTTTTTCATCATGTTCAATTATTATATTATAACATTTACGTTATTATTAGTCTTCATGACCTTACGTTCGTTGAATGATGAATATGACTATTTTACGAAGTCATTTTTGTTTTATTTTTAGGAAAACTAAGTCATTTAACTTATGGGATATGTTGCCAAGGATCCCGCCTCATTTTATTTTATTTCTCCTCTTCATTTTTTCTAAATTTTGCGACACATGAGAATTAATTAGTTAAAATAGATCTCCAATTATGATTAAAATAATTTATGTATTTGCTTTCAGAAGTTGGTTAAAATTTCATAATTGTAGATCACGTTATATTTATTTAAACATTTTTGCCTTGAGTAAATTTTAGTCATGCATAAATTTTTTTCCTTTTTTTTTCTTGATATAGGTTAAATGTTTTCTTTTTTCCCAATCGAGTAATCTTGAGAACCACAACTCATGTAAGGTAATAGATCCATTTTCTTGGAGTAACAAAGAATTTAAGGTTGATTGCATATATTTAGCTTCTAAAACTAAAAATATATATTAGATTGACACTTGATTTTTTTTTATTTAGCAGATCATGTTTTATTAATTCCTTCAATTCGTAATACGATCACTTGTAATTTTTCCATTTTTGAATGTATGTTAGTACTTAGTAGGGTGGGTGCTTGGTATTCGGTTCAGAAATTATTTCAGGTTTGATAATTCGGTAATTGATAGTTAAAAGTAGATATTAAATATCAAAATTTGAAATTTTGATTCGGTAATCGTTAAATTAAATTTCGATTTGGTATGATATTCGATAATACCATATTGAAGTTATAGCCAATTGTATAACAAAGTTAGTTTTATTTTTCCAATCATTTCGATTTTTTTATGTGGAGGCACGATATACTAAAAGATCAATAAGAAAGAAGACATCAATAAAAATAAATTGATACAACTAAAAGACATGTATTTGGGTTGTTTATGTTCATTCTTTAACTTTCTTCTTTGGACTTGCACTAATGAGTAATGGACATATTAATACACGATCTTCACTATCATGGGTTGTGATGCACTGGTAGGAGTGTTTCACACTTAACTAGAGGTCTTGAGTTCGAGCCCTGAGTATGAAAAAAATCTTGTTGGGAGCGCCACCCCAAATGGGCCCTGCAGTGCGCGATCCGAATTTAATCGGAGCTCCAATGTGGGCTTCCAGACACCGGGTGGGAAACCAAATAAAAAAAACATGATTTTCATTAAGTAAATAATTTGATATTCGAAAAATATCAAATCCAAACTCGATTACCATAATTCTAAAATTTTACTCTCAAATACCCAATTGCCGTATACAAAATTACCAAAAAATCCCGGCTCGGTAATTCGGTTTTCAGATCTAAATGTGAGCCTATCTAGTACAATATATTGAGAAGTGTGTTTACATATTTAAGAAAGATATATGGTAGATCTAAAATTATGTGGTAGTAAAAATATTGTAGATCTAAAATTATGCGATATGAAAATAATTAATCATTCTAATCTTGATTAAGACTTTATTTTAATTAATTGAATCTCAATCATTAATCATAAAAAATAATGATGTGTCATCAATTCCAAGTAAGAACATTATAAAATAGAAAGAGAGAAAATATGACCCTTCACCCTTGTTTTGTTTTATCATGTAATGATTACATTTACACCCTTCTTTATGATGCTGTAACAATTTTACAAATCCTTTAAGTTTATTCCCCAGCCAATCCTTCGTTGATTTTGGAATGCAGGAGTACTAAAGATTACTGCACATATTGTGATCAAGGAACCGTTTAGAGCTCAATTTACGGTACGGTATTCAACCATACTACTGTTGACTCATCAAATCTACTAAAGAAGACTCATTTCTTATTGTAATCATAATCAACTTGGACTAATGTTATTGAATACGAAAATTTTTATAATGGTAGAGGCCCAACCAATAATAGTTGTGTGACCCTCCATTGACACTTGAATAATGTGTCTACTTTACCATTTCTCCCCTACTCACCCTTCTTTTCATTCATTTTCTTACTCCTAATAAATATTTTTTAACTTCATTTTCTTAAGATGTTGATATATTGAATAAAAGAATTAATAAACATTTTTTTATCACAATAACTAAAAGCGTTTTTAGGAAAATACTCATATCATTCAATATTTTTAATAATATCAAATTAACTCAAAAATATTTAGTGTTTTCTCAATTACTAGCACCTAAAAAAAAATTTAATTCAAATTTAGTTTTCCATATTTTTCTTTAATTCTGTTTTAGTTCATATAATTACAGTTATGATTTTTTTGTTTTTTTGCACTTGAAAAAATATTCTGTTTAGTTCATATATCAACTTCGTTCTGTGAAATCTTCAATTTTTTTGTTTAATATATAAATATTAGTTATCAAATCAATTTATAAGATTATTTTTGTTTTTGATCTTATTTTGAAATTACACATACTTTTTCTTTCACCATAACCATATTTAAATATAAGAATGACAACGAAATAAAACAGGACAGGGAGTGGCAGACTCAAACATTTTTTAAAAATTTATACAGGTGAGACAGGTCACAGAATGAAATTTAAGTCTTTTAAATTAAAACTTACAATGCTTAATTTATTTTCAAAAATCAATCGGTTCCATATAATTTTAAATTAACTACTCATTATATTATTATTATTATTATAATATCATTCAACCTTAATATTATTAGAATTCATTTTTCGTGTCTTTACGTACATTCAGTTATAATATGTTTTTCCCAACGTTTTCTATTAAGTATTTAAAAAAATTATAACTTAAATTAAGAAAAATAACGGATACTCTATGTTAAGAGAAAACACTAAATATTTTATAGGTGCTAGTAATTGAGAAAACACTAAATATTTTTGAGTTAATTTGATATTATTAAAAATATTGAATGATATGAGTATTTTAAATACTCAGTCCTAAAAACATTTTTAGTTATTGTGATAAAAAAATATTTATTAATTATTTTATTCAATATATCAACATCTTAAGAAAATGAAGTAAAAAAATATTTATTAGGAGTAAGAAAATGAATGAAGGGTGAGTAGGAGAGAGATGGTAAAAAGGTAAAGAAGTAGACGCATTATCAAGTGTCAATTAATCAATGGAAGGTCACACAACTATTGTTGGTTGGACCCTACCAATACCTAATACAAATATCAAGTAATTATGTCTACCTTTTAGGCCACCCCTGGGTGCTACGAAAGAAAACACATCTTTCTTTGGCTACGCTATAATTCAAAAGACCCTTCAAACAGGATGCAAGGAACACATCACCTGGAGATGTGATATCGATGAAATATGTGATGTCTTCAACCATTAGAATGAAGAAAATTAAAATCTCCATTTGACACAAATATGAATTAAACCTGTAAATATATTTCAGGGACCAAATTGACTATGCCATTAAAAAAAGCAAGGCATAAAGTGAAAAAAAAAAATAATTTAAAAAGTAATGCCGCGCAACTGACGATCTAATCTAACCAGCCTTGGTGATGAATCTGTCGCATCCCTTCCAGCAGGAAGGAATAAAGCGACTTCAAAAAAGTTGGTATAACTAAAGTAAAATTTGCAACTTTGAGTTGGAAACAAAATTTTGATCAATATAACTATCACTGATATCTTACTTCATAATAATACACTTGATTAAAGGTAATATAAGATACGATAAGCTAATTTTAACAAGCACTGACAGGCAAATAGCGACACATAATCAGAGGGAGTGTTCCCAAACATACAAATAGGAGCATCATATAAGTGGATTAGCCTGGCATTTGAGTGGCCAAATCAATACTCACCTATTGTTTGGTCAAAATGAGTTTATATATCTAGAATAAACAGTGGACAATAACTCCAACCCACTTAACTCAAAATCAATCATTTTATTTATTCTACAATTATTTGTTACCAAATTAAAATCTATAAGATAGAGATGACCCTCTCATGAAGATTTATTTACCTCAAAACAACCCGCTAAGTCAGACTGGCTTATAATTTCACAGGCTAAATTTGACACCCCTATGTAAAAACATAACCTAGGGTCTTTTAAATTCTTAACAGTAGATCAATGTTATGTGACAAGCTACATTAGGCGCTCATGAGCAATAAGACTGCTCATATAAAACAAATTCTCTGCCCCACATTGTTTTGGGAGAAAACCAAAAGATCCTACACCATGGAACTTAATGTGGTGCAACCCAGACATGTTACTCTGACAGTCAGACACATACGGAATACATTTGAAACAAGATAAAAGACCAGGATAAACAGGCTACATTAGGCTTTTTATATTACCACCCAACACCAATGGATGACAACAACCCGTCTAACATTTTCATGCAGCAAATACCAGAAGAAATTCTATTGAATATTTTAACCAAATCAACCTCAATAACATCCAGAATGAGCTGGTAGACACCTGATGAAACTCGACAAGTATCCACAAGGACCAGAAAATACCAATTTCAGTTTAAGTACAACTTTGACACCACATTAAGAAGGCACAGTAACTTGACAACCGCTGCAACAGGAAGATGACATGACTGACTTTCAGACACCCACACTGAGCAATGCTGGACGACAACTCTGGACCTTCTCAACCCTTAAACAAGCCCTAGTACTCACTGGAACAGTAGACAACTTTGAATTAATAGATGCTGGATAAAATAGATGCAAGCAAACACAAAAAGAAAAGGATAAAGTAAACAAGAAGAACAAGTAACATATGAAATACCCAAACAGGAGAAAAGAAAGAAAACTAGACAAGATAGTACCCTTTTGGTGCTAAAGGGTATAATTCCAACACAAAATTTCATACTAAGAAAGTTTCTTGAGCATAATATGCATGAACTGTGCAATAAATACATAGATGGCTCACAAGTTATTGACAACTTTACGCAACAAATCATCATACAAATCAAACTTGTCACACAACAGACCTGATCATTCTCATCAGCTGATTGTGAAGGAGACTTCTTGGCTTCAGATGG